TAAAAAATGATTACCGTCTTGCATGAGCCATCCTTTGCGGATTGAAGGGTCTAGGGAAGACTAGAATTCACTTCAAACGCATAACATATGGACATGTAAGATTGGATGAGGGCTGGTTCTCACCGGCATACCCCCACGTGGGAAGATTGGGTTGGCTAGGTCAACCTAATGATTAGAGAATGGCACATTAAAAAAAACTTAAAACCTGGAAGAGGGGCCCTGGAAGAAGGGTGTTGCCTGGAAGAGGGCTGAACCTTGGAGAGGGTTCGCGATCATAGGACATGGTCAAAATCTCCGAAGAAAGTTCGGGTCTTGATGTTGAGACTTGATGATACCAAAACCGATTCGGATTATTCGTTCGAAATTGGAGCAAGGTTAATGATAGGCATGACATCCAGGCCAAAGGGGTAAAGGAAATTGGCATGGTCAAAAGTGACCGGTCACTTTTGAATGTTTTGGATTGGCAAGAAAATGCGAATGGGAAAAAATTAAAATTTGACTGGTCAACTTTGAGAAAAGTGACTGGTCACTTTTTAGTCGGCGGATTTGATGAAATCAGACAAATCTGGAAAAAATATTTTTTGACCGGTCACATTTTTGACCCGGCACCTGGACAGGAAATTTGACGTCATGCTGGTTACATATTGCAACCAGGCCATTAGAAGTTGGTCAAGAAGAATTCAACCTAGACGAAGTGTCACATTCTAACCTGGAAGTTGACTGGGTCAGAAGACAAGCGGGGAAGAAACCGACCTAGACGTTTTCAAGTCAAGAAACCAGGACATGAGATGACCTGGAAGTTTTCAAGCCTTTGCGTCTAAAGTGGTCTTCAAAACTTCCAACCTAGCCTACTACACCAGGACATGAGATGACCTGGAAGTTTGTTGCAGTTCAACCTAGACATAAGCCGGTCCAGAAGACTAGTCAGGCATGAGGTGCTCTGGACGTTTCATGGGGTGTAGAAATAAAGGTTTAGACCTGGACGTTTACAAGGGTTGCTAAACCTGGAAACCTTCGAAACCCACCTAACCAGGACACTAGATGACCCTGACATTCCTACAGGATAAAGCCGGTTACTTCTTTTGACTTGGAATCAAGCATATTCAAGAAAATTGTCAACCAAGCCAATGAGGCCTGGACGTTTTCAAAACCAGGACATGAGATGGCCTGGGCGTTCTTTAAAACGATTCCTAGGGTATAAGGCCGGTTAGTTTTATTGACTTGGAAGTTCATTCAAAGGCGGTCAAGAAAAAGAAAAGAAAAGCAATCATGTAAGAAACAATAACCATGCATAGAAAAGAAGTTCAACAATGCAAATTGAAGCAGATCGATCGGTAAAAGATAAAGGCATGCCAAGAGGATTTAAGTTTCATACAAATCAAAAGTAGGCCGGACATTCCCCAGGCCTTGGGAAAATTTAGTGTTTGAAAACATACCCTAACCTACTCGAGGGGAAAGGGGGGAGCTGGCTCTTCCTTGTACAGGGCTGAAAGCTTCAACTTGGCCGGGTCGAAAGAAGGGTCCTTCCTCTGGAGTCTGGCATAGAGAAGAGATCTCTCTTCCTTTTGGCCACACTGAAACCCATAGGACCCGACATCTGTTATCATTCTCTTCCCTTCTGGTTCCTTATACATGACTTTGAAAAAAATCCATGGTGTCCTCCGGATTGGTGAGAATGGACCGGGCAACTTCTGTGTGATGGCAGGCGGCCCAAATCGCAGCATCATCAGGAAAGGCCTCCTCTTTTGACCGGGCAGTCTCTTCAGCTTGGGCCAAAGCATCTTCCAGCTCTGCCACCTTCCTCTCCGCCTCCACCAACTTGGCCCTTTCCTCCTCTAACCTGGCCCTTTCAGCCATCAGATCTTCTTCCAGCTTCTTCTCCCTCTCAACCCGGTCATTAATCTCTGACTTAGCGGAGTCAAGGAGGAGGGTGAGCTCGGAAAGCTGGTCCTTTGGTTCAACGATTGACCGGCCAACTACTTCAGATATAACTCCAGCCTGGAAAACATGCCTATCAGTAAAAGCAAGGAAAGAATTAAACCGGGAGGAAAATCAGAGTTGGTACCTTGCTAAGTTTCTTGGCCAAGGACAAAAATGTCACTTCAATGGACACCCCCTCTAGATCTGATAGCCTGACCTTCTTCCTCCTTTCCCCCTTGGAAGTCTTGTGGGAACCCTTCCTTTTCTGAGAGGAAGAATGACCGGTCCCTTTCCCTTTGGCCTTGACATCCTTCTTAGGAGAAGGGACCCGGTCACTTTCAAAGAGATGGGTGGCTGGAGGAGAGTTCAGCTTCTGGCTCTGTTTATGGATAGGGCTACACCGGGCACTTGTGGCCCCATCCATTTCAGGGAAGTAAGGAGGAGAATGAGGCTTGGAGAGAGGAGACCGGTTGGAGTGGAGGACTTGGACATCGTCGTCGTCATCCTCGATGATGGTGGTCATCCTGTTGAAATTCATGTCTGAAAAAGAACAAAGCAACTAATGACCGGTTAGTTTTTAAGCCTTGTACATAAATAAAGAAAATGAAAGTAAGAAGCTTAAGAGAAGATGATCGACCTGGACGAGGAGAACTGGCCTCAGCATGACCATCCGGGGAGTTTGCCCGGTCATCTTCTGCGTCATGGGTCGCAGATTCACCCCCATCCGGGTTAGGTAACCGGTATACCCATCCACCGTAGGCGTATGGTTTACCGGTCACAGGGTCACCCTTAAGAAGTTTCTCGCAGGCTTCCTCTAGCTCTTTGGTGGGCTTCGGGTGAACCCTTTCAGGTTTTATAACCCGGTCAGCCCACTCACGGTTGGAGAGTGGAAATTGGTCAGGGGGGAACTCAACGAAAACAAATCTTTGCTTCCATTTCTTGTGGCTAGGGGGAAGACCGGTCAAAAAACCCCTAGAATTGGCACGGGAATGGAAGTAAACAAAGCCCGGGCAGTTACTAGTCCCGGGCAAGACATCATACATATGAAGGAAGAGGTCCAAAGAGGGTTTGATTTTTAGAGATTCACAAATATTTACAAAACAATTCAAGAACCGGTGAGCATTTGGAGTAAGCTGGCCGGGCAAAATCTTGAACTTGTTACAGATTTCTACGAGGAGGGAGCGAAGGGGAAAGATAATGCCCCCCTCTAGCGAAGCGACATGAAAACCCAACCGGTTTCCTTGGTGGGGTTCTATGATGTTGGGCCAGGTGGTGTTAGAAATGACTTTATAGCCCGGTGGAAGGACAGAGCGTACCCCGGCCAGGACCTTTTTTGTAACCCTAGAGGACTCTTTGAAGACCGGTCCTGAGTCAAGGGCTAGGTAGCCCATTGATCCCAATCGTTCTTCCCACTGGTCCCAGCTGAGGACCTTGGGATTGAACCGACCGGGCAGTTGGTTCAAAGGAACAGGCTCCTGGGCAACTATTTCCTGGGCCTGGGAGCTAGATTGGTGAGAGGGGCGGCGAATTAAAGGAGTGACAGGGGGAGAAGAAGACTCACAGTGAGAAGAAGAAGAGGGCTGAGAGCCTGACCCAAAAGATTGACCGGATATGTTTTGACTATCAGAAGACATTATATTGCCGGTTAAAAAAGGAAAGATGAAAAATATCTCACTAGGAGGACTGGAGCACTTACTTGGTGGGAAGCTAGAGAAAGAAAGTAGACTGGGCAAGTCAAGAGAAACGAAGGAGAGAAGTGAACAAATGAGATGGGTTGGAGGAGTATTTATAGGAGAGAGAGAGAGAGGAGGGTTGGAACTCGAGGCGACAGGTGGGAGGCCGAGGACGTGACACGTGGAAGAGTAATGATGAAGTTTGAAATTCAAATTTCAAATATGGAAGGTGAAAGGATTTTGGGGGGGAAACTGCAAAAATGGAAGGTCGAGCCCAACATCTGGGTTTCCACAGATGCAAATGGACGGGTCTAAATGGGAAGGCTTATAATTCGAAAAATGATAGGTCAGAGGGAACTGGTTAGATCTAAAAGGACAGGTCATTGATGGCAGGTCATCGACGGATCCAAAAAATGAAAGGTCAATGGGAATGACTTGGTGATTTCAAAGAAGGACAGGTCTTGAAAATGAAAGGCTTGATCATTCGAAGAAAGACAGGTCTTGAAAAGGAAAGGCTTGATCATTCAAAGAAGGACAGGTCTTGAAAAGGAAAGGCTTGATCATTCAAAAAAGGACAGGTCATGTGAGGGACTTGGTGATTCAAAAGGACAGGTCACGAGAGAGACCTGGTGACTCAAAAGGACAGGTCATGAGAGAAGACTTGTTGAATGTAAAAGGACTAGTTAGCAAGAATGACTTGATGATTTCAAAGTGTGATAGGTCAACACAAGTATACTTCCCGCCCTTGATGATTTCCTCACAAGGCCGGTAAGTGGAGGACTTATTGATGGGTATATCCTTATACCCGACCCGGATAACCGAAAGGGACAGGTCATAATATGACCGGTCACTTTTATCAATCACCAAATGAGGTTAACTCTTCGATTGGGATGGGTCAAAAGTTGACCGGTCATTTCCACTAAAAAAGTGACCAGTCACATTTTGGGCGATAGCCAAAATGTCACCTTATGCTACGAAGGATATTCCGGAAGACCAAAAAGACGGGTTGAGCGCAAGAAATGACCGGGTAACCTTTGAGAGAAGGTGACCGGTCATATCACTTTACTTGGCTAACATTGGTCCAGTCTCTTAGGCATGGTGAACCACGTCAGAGGTCGAGGGGACACCCCGCCGCTCATCCATCACAAGACAAACAGTGAAAGGGATGTTTGTCACTTTGCAGGGCTGATTGGATTGAGAATATCCATCTATAGTCTTTGATTGAACAGTACATGTCTTGGCTTATAGTTGCTAAATTCTATGATTGTACAGTGCTTCCATTATCTACAGTGACCTTCCCACGAGCTTCCTATTTTGTCCATGGATGAACAGGAGAGGGTCACAAATCCTCCTCTATAAATATGATGATATTTGATAGAGGGAGGGGATCTAATTTTTCTCTCACTAAAGTTCACTCTTGAGATAGAGTAAGAAATATAATTCTGACTGAGGAGATTTACCCGGTCAAGGTCATACTTTGTGTTCTTGTTGTGTGTTTTATATTACGGGTCGAGTGTGTCCAGGTCAAATCCGGTTAACCCACCCAGCTATATTTACATCATCAGCACCAATATTTTGTGTTGGTGTAAAATTAATTTTTATTAATGCACCAATATTTTGTGTTCGTGTAAATTTTTGTTAACACACCAACACTTGTGACAGTATAAACCATCAAAATGTTTGTGTATAAGTGCGAAGTATAATTTTTTGCTTAAGTGTAGCATGCTCAATTACGATTTCATGACAATACATGAATACATGGTAAAAAAGACGTCTATATAACGGCCTACTAACCCATTTTCGGATCCTGAACATAATTATAACAAAACAAACCAAAAAATTGGTCAGAAAAATCTCAGCAGAACTCTGAATAGAAACTGCCCTGACGTTTCACCCACCGAGAGGCCAAAAAGGCTCTCTTTTCCTCTCTCTCTCTCCGCCACTTACCCACCCACCACCACCGTCATCCATGACGGCATCCGTCCAAAATATCCCGTTCAGCCGCCTCGACCAGGCCGCCTCATCTAGCGTCTTCCACGCCTTATCGGGTGACTCATCCGCCCGAGGATGCAACAATTTCCTCGAACTCACCCACCACAACTCATCTGATCGCGCCGCCGCCGCCGACGGGGTTCCCGGTGAGTTTTATTCTTCCGGCGATGAGGACGACCGGAGTAGCAGTGACGACTACGCTGCGGAAATAAGGAAAGGGAAATCTGGAACAGAGCCGTCCGTTCACGACGCCAGAGACTCCAATACTTCAGACCGGTGGATTCGGCGGAACCCGTCGCTGATCCGGCTGACCGGGAAGCATCCGTTCAACTCCGAGCCGCAGCTGGACCGGCTGATGCACCACGGATTCATCACCCCGGTCCCGCTCCACTACGTCCGGAACCACGGCGTCGTCCCGTGCGCTGCATGGGACGACTGGACCGTCGAGGTCACGGGCCTCGTGAGGCGGCCCGTGACCCTCACAATGGAACAGCTAGCCAACGAGTTCCCTTACTGCGAGTTCCCCGCCACTCTAGTATGCGCGGGGAACCGCCGCAAGGAACAGAACATGGTCAGAAAGACGAACGGGTTCAATTGGGGCGCCGCTGCCGTCTCCACCTCCGTCTGGAGAGGGGTCCCACTAGCCGCCGTCCTGAAGCGGTGCGGGATCTACAGCCGGAGGAGGGGCGCCCTGAACGTGTGCTTCGAAGGGGCGGAGGACTTGCCCGGGGGCGGGGGGTCGTCGAAGTACGGGACGAGCATTTCGAGGGAAATGGCCATGGATCCGGCGAGGGATATTGTGGTGGCGTACATGCAGAACGGGGAGAAGCTGACGCCGGACCACGGGTTTCCGGTGAGGATGATCATTCCGGGGTTCATCGGCGGCAGGATGGTGAAGTGGCTTAAGAGAATCATTGTCACCACTCAGGAATCGGAAAGTTACTATCACTACATGGACAATAGGGTCCTTCCGTCCCACGTGGACGCCGAACTGGCTAAAGCCGAAGGTACACTTTACTATGTGATGACTTTTGGGCTATACAGAGTCTTTTAGGCAGGGGTATAAAAATTTGTTTTTAAATTTGTACACCTTTTCATATATAAAAAAATTTTCTAAAATTATTTATAGCACAAAGTTACAAAAATACTTTCGGGTACTCTCGACTTTTTGGTAATTACTCAGAGTATCCACATTTTGTGAAAGACAGTACTGACTTTTTGTTATACTCCGGGGTCCCCACAACTTTTTTGTAAAAGTTCTCAAATCCCACATTATCCGAAATATACTCCGGAGTTCTTAAAATTTGTAATATTATACTTAGAGGAAAATTATCTCAATTTAGGTGTTAGATTAAAAGTTATTTTACTTTGACAAATTGATGTATTTTATTTTAATTTAATAAAATAATGATTATTAATGTAAAGATTAATATTTGTCAAAGTAACAGAAGGTTCAAGTATAACGGCCAAATAAACAGAATGTGCCATTAGGGTAAAGTGAATGTGCCATTAGGGTAAAGTAGTACATTAATTACCATAAAATTTAAGGACCGCTAGAGTATATTTTGGATAATGTAGGACCTAAGAGCTTTTATCAAAAAATTAAGAGTACTCAGAAGTATATTTAAAATAATATGAGACCCGAGAGTTATTATCCAAAAATCAAGGGTGTAGGCTATTGGGGGAGTGAACTACTGAGGAAGTGTCGTAGTTAACTACTCCGTACTCCATATTAAGGGGGTGTTTGTAAGTGTGGTGAGTCTTGAAAAATCACATGTGCTAAATCAGAAGTAGAAAGTAGTTATTTTGAGCTTTGGTTAAAATCACTTCTAAAGCATAATTTATACATGTGAAATCATAATCCATAATCTAAAGCTAATTGTGTTTCAATGAAGTTGAACTTCAAAAGCTATTTTTAAACACACTCCCAAACACCCTCTAAGACCGTATAAAACCATTGAGTCATTGACTATAAAATCACATCCTAAAAATAATGCCATAATCACATACAATAAGGACACAAATTTACTATTTGTGCACTTTTTGGGGAGTGGAAAAGTGTCCTATTAAGACACTAAGGCTTTGATTGGTACACAAAATTAGAATTGCAATTGAATTTAAAATAAAATTTTAGAAAAATGAATTAAATGTAATTGAATTCCAATTTAATTCAAAATTATTTGTTTGATATAATTAACGATTTGATTAAGATATTATTATAATTAAAAATATCTTGTTTGGTAATACAAAATATACTCCCTCCGTCCCACTATATTTGTCCACTTTCATTTTTGCACACCATCCAATACACTTTTTTAATCCATTTTATCTTGTAATTTGTATATTAAAAAATTATAGAAATTATATATTAATAATCTATATGTTAAGACAAATCAAACAAGATCACGCATGACTATATTTAGGCTTACACATTGAGAGAATTTGATGAGTCAAAGTGCTTAGATGAACAGTTTCAAAAGTCAAAAGTGGACGAATATAGCGGGACGGAGGAAGTAATATAGAATTGATATGGAATTATATTATGATTCCAAGTCCATATCTACATATTTTTTTGGTGCTACCAAACAAC